TTTTTCAAAAAACGGGTGATTCACCCGCATATGACGGCTGAATCTCTCTTAGCCTTAACAAAGCAGGCGTTTGGAGAAAACGGGTGCTCAGCACATTCACCCATACAAACACCCATCTGCCAAAACGGGTGGTTCTACGGGTGATCACCCATTTTTTTTCGACCCAGTACCCGTTTCCCAAAACGGGTGGCTGCTACCCGCATATGACGGGTCTTTGACGGGTGGAAATACGGGTAAATTATTTGCTGGGTATGCACATATTGTGTCCAGGTTGTGAGCCAATTTTTCCTCAAAGCTTTTGTTCAAGTTTGAGTTTTGATATTTCTGGTGCAATCAATTTTCTTTCAGAATACCTCAAGAGAGATTTTTTTAAAGGAATTTTGTGCTGCTTTGACAGAGTGGCATTGAATTGGGATGCACACAAGATCAAGAGTTGATGGATGTCTATTACTTGTTCAACTCATGAAAACTGAACTTGACTGCCATGATATTCTGCAAAGCTGTAGCAATTGTGATGACAATGAATTGGTGGAGAATTGCTTTCTGGTATTGAAGTCTGAAATGTTCCTGAATTCCAAAACTATCTCTGTATATAGTGTTAACCTAAAAACATTTACACTTGCTGCAAGGATTTTTCCCTTCATCCAAATTTCCTTCTTCCTCTTCAGGTAGAAAGATGCTGTTTTCCCCCTGCAGCGGTTTCCTTGTTTTTATTCATTTACTTTCATGTCACCAGCATTAGTGTGTGACACTTTTCTTCAAGTTGATCTTATATAATTTTATTTTCACTCCGAATAATGACTAATGATGTGTGCAACTACTTACCTTTGAATATGAAATCCAAGAGGAGGAAATATCTCTTAGATGAATACAGTGTAATCAGAAATAATTGTGATGCATATATTTGCATGTATCAACCATGTATTCATGAGGCTTGGAACAGTAAAATCATGAAACAAGAATATCCAGGCACATGATAAAATTTGGTACAAAAATGAATATATAAAGACATATGATTGCTGAATCTTGCAGCATCTATAGGACTAGAACGGACTGACATTTTTTAAGAAACAGGTAAAATGTCCTTTTGAAAATGGGGATCTTACTGGAATACAATCTGAAAAGAGCATAAAGATACTGCTGTATATGTGCGAGAAGAACATTTATTCATTGACAACTTTCTGATTTCTGAAATAGATCTGCAACCCTTCAAAATTATTGTCTTAAAAAAAATGAGTCATTTTTAAATTTTGAAGTGAAGCTGGATAAATTGTCATGAGGGCTTCATAGTATGTACTGCAATGCAGAGTTTTCTGTACAAAAAGGTTAGCATTCAAATTTTTGAATGGTTTAAATTATGCTTTACAAGTTGATGGGGTTTCCCATATTGTGCCACACTAGGTGAAAATTTTCTTCAGCCTGGCCATGAATACATCCTCCTATAAGAAACGCAAATATTCATCCTATGGAGATTACAGATGTACTATGGTAACGAAATTTGTATAAAATTGCCCCTTATGGAGAAAGTTCTGGGACCAAGAAACAAATTTCAATGTGACAAAGCATTCGTCATATACGGAGATTATTTGTAATGTAGGTTGTGTTGCTGTGTCAGAGGTTATCAAATGAGAGGATGTTTGCCTTCAGAGATGAAGTATTCTCCCAGTTATCTTTATGCGAATTTCTGTCCTTATTGGAGAACGATATATGCTGCGAGATGCGTCAAGTGGAAACGGAAGCGCGTTTGTGGAATATCTGAAGCAATGAATGAACAGATGGGCCCCCAGCATGCATTCACAGAGTGGCATTTCAAACCGCGCACTTGATTTGATTTCTGTTATCTATAATTTTCTTGCAGGTGAAACCAGAAATCGATGTCGTGGCCGTTGGCAAGGCTTACGAGAAGCCGCTATGATCACATGATTACTGGAATCTGATGAGAGCGAGATTCTACCATACATACACGACCTTCTTTCTTTTGTCCTGATTGCGTACAGTATAATGAATGGACTTTGAAAGCCTGGAAAATGTCATTTCTATTTTTTTGACTTGATTTCGTTGCACGTTCAGGGTTGTGTGGTGTCGAATACGTATGCAACAATTGAAGCAGTTTTCGACTTGACGGATGACGAATCAATTTTCCAATTTGTTTTTGATATCCATAAGAAACTGAAAGAAAATGCATGAGCATCATCTCCCAAAATCATTCATGTGTCAATAGAACAGTTTCCATCAAATTGTTGGCGGATAGCAGACAATGACTGCCTATTGAGGTATTTCCCCATCCTTTTAACATTGGGGAGATTTTTTTGGGGTAAAATGTTGGTGGGAGGTGAGGGGGGCAGTTTAACAAGGGTTGACAGTATATACAATGTAATATAATGTATAAATAAATACATTACATAGTGTATGAATAATAATAATGCTTCAAGATGGGCAGTTTGACAGTTAACCAATTGTATAAACAAATGCCACCTCAAACAGACAAGCAAAATATTTGTATGACTTCCAGCAGTGAAAGCGGTCTGTCCTTCCTTGGAAAAAACAGGCCATGAAAGTTCTAAAACACCATTGGGAACTAAGGAAGTCCAAATTTACTATCAAGAACACTTGACAGGAAAATTTGATTTGTCACATGGTAATTCAAGCAGAATTGCTCAATGTTAAAATATACAATGCCGCATATATCAGCCATATCTGATGGAACTCAAAAATACCAAATATATGCTTTCATGTAGACTTCCCTTCTATGAAGGGAGCCTCTCTCTATATATGAAAGAGCCTGGAAAGACAGAACAGTAAGATGGTCTAAAAATTTGTTGGCCAAGTCTGATTTTGCAAAACTATCTCCAAAGAGAGCTTTGAAAACTTTAAAAAATGTGTGTATACTTAAAAATTTTATGAAGTTTACAAACTCCAATTTGTATTGCCTCATTGAAGGAGAAAACAAAGCATGCTCTTAATCATATCTTTGGAGAGTCACACATTACTCAAATTTACTCGAATCATTTCTATTAGTCTGGAAAAAGGTAAGGAATAGGTTGGGCCAGAAAATACAGAATTTTTGAAGGAGAAGGTGCAGTTCTCTTGGTAAGCATAAATTTGTACAGCCAATTATTCTGGTGTTCTACCACCAAATACAAATTATACGGGATCATTAACAATTTTGCAAACCATCAAATAGTTCCAGAATATTTTTTAGACCACCAGAAAATGTAAAAATTTAAATTTTTAAAACAAAACTCATCACCCAGCAAATGATTTGGCCGCTGCAACCTGCATTGCAAAGCTATTGGCAAGTCATTGGAACCCAAACATTGGTCCAATGCCTGTTTGGTCACTGTCTTATGTCTGAGAACAGATGTTCCCCCAAACGTTAGCCAATGCCTGCTGGAACCCATTCTGGCATGCATTGGGGACATTTCCCCAAAGGTTTCCCCCATGTTCACCCTGCAAAAGCCTCCATCCACAAAAATACTGTACACCCACACCGGGACTTCACACCGCGCATTGGGTATAGACCCGCCAGGATGAAGTTCAAGGTGGCATCCTCGAATGAAGGCAACCAGTATGTCCGCACTCTTGAGTCGCGCGCGGGACACTGAAGCGGCGTTGGCATTCGTGTTGTCTTGCGCCGAATTGGTTGAAGCCTTTTCGGTCAAGGGTTATGTTCATGCTGGTATGTTGCTTTTACATTTTTCTATTTTGCCCAGCTGGACATTTTCCTGCCTGAACTTTTTGTATTCGTGGGTATGTGAGGTTTCCTTGATACTGAGGACGAAGATGTTCCGGCGAGGTTCACCAATCTCTTGAATGTCGGACTCGAATTGCTTCATCGAATTTCGAAGCGCGTTGTTTATTGGCGCATCGTGTTTATGCTGCGAGCGGGTTTCTTACAGTGTATCTTCCGAAAGTATTGTGTGACCTTTTCCGTGAGGATCAGTTGTCAAATTTGCCTACGCGTGAAGCCCCTTCTAAAGTATTGGAGGGAATTTCTTCAGTTGACAAAGGTGTGGGGAAGAGGATGACGTGTTTTCAAATCGAAAATGATGCGCCGGTTGGCTGGGAAGTCGCGGGAGAGTAGAATGGTGAAATTGAGCGAATGAACGCGTGCCTCCAAGTTCATCATCCAGGTCAACTCATTTGAGTAGCAACTTACGGCCCAGAACATCACCAATTGCAAGTTCGTGTTTTTTTCGTCTTTTCCACCCCCAAGAAATGCCTGTTCACAGAACTCGAATTGTTCACTGGTCCCTTGTGGTTTGACTGGGGATATGTTCGACTGTACGAGGATTCATTTACATAAAAGTTTTGAATCCGTTTTGCAGGGAAGAGTTTTCAACAAGTATGCTAGACGCGTCTTCACTACGACCAATGAATGCTTCGGAGAGATCAATCAGGGATGATCGCAGCGTTTGTGAGGAGAGCGTGAAAACTGATGTGGATCGTTTCGAGATTGATTCAACGTCGAGTGTGTTTGGTGGACACGGAGCACATGCCATTCGTCGGATAGACAGGAAGGCTATGGAAGCCATGTGCAATTGCGACGACAGCTCAGTCAAGTTGAAGGCTGCTGTTATTTTTTATGCTGCGGATGAGGAGGTTCGTGTGATGCTTTATTTTTATTGTATGTTATATCGACGTGTTTGAAAGCGAGGGAATTGCCATTCGAAGTCCATTCCGGTGGTACTGTAGTTCAGATTTTATAGACTAGAAAATTGGTCTAAGTTTGATTTAGTTGCATGAGTCTCTGTTGTACATCTGGTTCTCGGACATCATCGACGGGTTCCTCGGATTTTTGGCCTTGAATTCGGAGGTTTTTGTTGGTTGGACACAGCAGCTAGGATGAATCTGACAGCTGAGTGAATAGTTCAATTAAAAGCATATCAAGCATCGTCTTTTTCGAACGAGAATCGAATTTTTTTTGGACATTACCGAGAGGTTCTGTCCGAGATTGTGTGATGGTTGCTAAGAAGTAGGAGATCTGAAATTCACTCGTGGTTCGATTTGAGTTTCAGGAAGCACTGAATTTTTCTCCGAAACGAAGCAATCCGTTGAATCGATTGCGAAGTGAAAGTCCGTCTCTTTTTAAACTTCCTCTCTTGGAAATTGTTCATCTCTTTTATTTTACGTACGTCGGAGGCATTTTGAGGATAGCTCGAGTTGACACTGGGACCCGGAAATATGCGCGATTCGACTAAGGGACACTTCGAACTTGGAAAATCTGCCGTGACATACGGACTACAAATCGAGTTCCGGTCACTTCCGAAATTTATAGAACATTTTCTTTCAAATATTTCTAGACAAATTGTGAACGAGTTGAGCCATTTGTATGTGCCAACATTTGAAGTGAAGTTCATCATGAAGTAGCGGTAATGCGTAATCGAAAACAGGCTATTTTTGTGCTTCTGTCTTTCTGTTTTTTATAGCGTTTTTTCCATTATCTGTGCACAGGAAAATTGAACGTGTGCTTGTATTTCAGATTTAAAGCTCTTTTTGATGCCTGAAGGGCATATTGTCTCGTTTTCTTACTGCAGCATTATTTTCTGTACGTTGATGTGGGTGTATGAATACTGTAGTACACTACGAAGTTTTTGAGAGGTTCTTCTCCAAATTATTGATGAGCAGAACCAATTGAATATGTTTCCATTCAAATCTGTGAAAAACGTAATCCAACATGTGGACATACAGTCCATGAATCAATTGCGTCTAGTTTGGGTCCCGCTAGGGCTAAGCGTGTCGTAAGCCGTTCGTCTTTGAGGCATCTCCGGGGTTTATACTGTATTCATACAATATCTTTCTTTTCTCTCGGTATATCGTTGCCAGGGAGATCCTCAGCAAGGTGTTGCCCCGGGGCATGATGCAGCAGTTGGCCGGAAAGAGAGTGTTGGCATATACAGTATGTGCAAATCTCGTGACGATTTCAGGAATCTTGCAGTCAAAGCGAACTTGGACAGTAAATTGAGTGTTCACTCCTACCAGAACGAATGGTCGTGAAATCACGATACTGATTGCAATGTTGAATCGAATCCTTCGGAGTTCGGTGAGTTTTCTTTTTCGAAAAATGTTTTCTTTTCCTGTCCTTCCTTGCACAACAGCGTTCCTTGGGACTGGATTGGCCATCATTTTGGTGAACGATCCAGAGTGACCATGCGGACAGTGCCCTTCCGGAATGTTTTCGGAAGGTTTTAATGGAAGGAGATCAATTGACAATGGTTGTCTCATGCTTCTTGTACTTTGGCCTCTTTCTTAATGCTGTGTGACAAGAAGTAAGGCCGATGTTGAACATAATATCCTCACCTAACAATTCAGACCTCGAGATTCAACTCTGGTGGAGTCATTCATGCATTGGGATTTGTTCTCAGATGTCCGGAAGATGCGTCAACAGAATGAACCCTGGATTTGTCCTTGTACGATTGCATTTGACGGAGTTGGAAATTGAGTGGAAAACTGAAGATGTATGAGAAATCTCCGAATTCTGCTGTCATGGTGCGTCTCGAAACATCTCGTGCTTGCTTCCATGACTTCATTGCCAATTTAATCTTTTTACAGGTTGAGAAATTGAAGGCCTTGGCCGGTCATGCCGTGTTTCTGGGATGTATGAAGATCAGGCAAGAATGGCTAGAAGTTCAGTCAAGATTGAACGTCAAGATTGAAGGCATTTGGATCGGAAGACGATATTCGAGTAATTCTTTTTTTTTTTCCATCTAGTGTCATAGTTGGGCCAAAAGCGGTTCCTTGTCGTTTGTCATATGATTTGATGGGAGTGTTTCGCGACGACGATTCCGTGCTCAATTTGTTTGCTAGGATATTCGCGGTAATGAAATATGGTGCTTTCCTTTGTTATTCAAATTTTTGAACAGCATTCTCTCTGTTTGACTTTATGAAATTCCAAGATTGATGGCTTGAATTGGTCCTGAGAAGTACAGGTCGTCTAACGCTGCAAAACTAAGTGTTGGACATGGAGAATTTGTGTCTTTTCGTTCAATCAGTGAGAAGTGCACGCCTAGTGAAGTTCGGTTGTAGTTACGGTGAATGGATTATGCAATATGTCAAATCATGATTATTTCTCAACGAGCGGGTATTTCTGCATCAGACAGATGCATAGGAGTTTAAAAGTTGGCAAGTGTTCTATGCCACTGAGTTTCAAGGATACATGCGGGAAGGTCGTATCTAAAGAGTGGAATGGCTTCAGGTTTTCGACTTCTTGAAAACAGGATGCTTCATGATTCGACTTCTTGAAATTATTCCACGCAATGTGGATAAAGGCTTGCAAATGTAGAACTTTTTGCAAACGGTACTTCCTGTTGATCAATCATATGTTTGAAATTTACGTTGCCCTAGATCTGTAAAATTTGTTAACATGGGCTCAAGAAGTCGAAAACATGAATCCATTTAGGAAAGCGTTTTTTTTCCCTAATACTCATCCGATTTATTTTAATAGAAATTCAATTACATTTTACAGTATTCTTTTTACCTTTCGTATGTCAATGAAATGGTAGCCAAAAGGCCTCCGAAAAATTTGAGTTGAAGAGGAATGCTTTCAAATTCGGGAGTTTCGTATGCTAAGTAATGCCTTGTTTCTGAGGGAATTCAGGAGACTTGAGACAAACTTGATATCGTGAAGATGGATTTATCGAGGTTCAACTGTGTGGTGTAGTCAAATAAAAAAAAAGGAACCGCGTGAAGTGTCGAGAGTCTGTGGCATTACATTCAAAATCCCTCTCATTTCTCGCAAAATCAAGAGATGCATAAACTCCATGAAAGGAATGAGAAGTTGAATAAGGATAACTATTTTTTTTTTTGTCCATGCATTAACAGTGTATTATAAAACTCTTGGATCGATCCGAAGTTGTAACATGCTTTTTGTTTATTTGTCCAAATGCCTTGCGAGAAATTCTCGTGCGGTTTCGAAGTCCATGGATTCACAGCATTTTTCGATGTGATGATCGGTTATTATTTACTTACTTTCAATTTTTTTCAGCTGGAAATCTGCGTGCGAAGCAGTGGGTTCGACCTACGCTAAAGAGAGTTGTACGTAACGTGGCTTTGGAGAGACCCGTGCCTGGTTGACTTTCTGTTGGACGGCTACAAGAAGCAGCTGGATTCCGTGCCGAAGCAAGGACGCTGTGCGCGAGGAGTTCTTGACACTTGAAATTTGAAAAGCAGTACTTTGTCTTGCTTTGTGGTTCGTTGACGATGTTCCTGTCGAATACGTTCCCGCTTCTGATGTCTGTTCACCGTGGGGTTTACTTTTTTCTTGATGCAGTCCGTCGAGACTGCGAAGACTTCGCGTAGCGGAAGGCAGAGGAGTATTGGGACTTTGATCTCATTTGCAAGATCGGTTTCAGGAGCAGTGATCGGCCTTGGTGAAGAACTTTCATGACGTTTCTGCGGATGAGGTGCGTCGTTGTTCGTTCATCTCTCAAAATATCTGATGTCTTTTTCTCCTTCTTGTACCTGAAGTAGGCAGTGAATTTTTTGCACAAAAAAAAGCGAAAAATGGAGCACAGACAAGAAAAAGCTTTCGGATTTCCCGAGTACAGTAATTATCATGTCATACACTGGTTAGTCTCGCGAACACTTGAAACAGCGTATTTACTCCAATACTGAACCAAATTCTTCAGCCTGAAATGTGGTTGAAAATTATCCCCCAATAAGACGCGCACCCGATTTTCAAAGGCTGAAAATTTAAATACTTTGATGATAAAATGCATATGGAAAAAACAGTATTCAATGATCTTTTGATTTTCTGCTCGACAGGACTTGCTAGTGTTGGTATGGATGTGCGAATCTTGTGACGATTTCCGGAATACTTGTAGTCACAGCGAACTTGGATTGTGACTTGAATGTTCACTCCATCAGAACGAATGATTGTGAAATCATCATACCGATTCGAACGGGGAATTGAGTACTTCGGCGTGGCTGTCTTGTTGGGGTGAGTTTTTGTCGACAAATGTTCCTTCTTTTCCTGTCCTTCCTTGCACAACAGCGTTCCTTGGGACTGGATTGGCCATCATTTTGGTGAATGATCCAGAGTGACCATGCGGACAGTGCCCTTCCGGAATGTTTTCGGAAGGTTTTAATGGAAGGAGATCAATTGACAATGGTTGTCTCATGCTTCTTGTACTTTGGCCTCTTTCTTAATGCTGTGTGACAAGAAGTAAGGCCGATGTTGAACATAATATCCTCACCTAACAATTCAGACCTCGAGATTCAACTCTGGCGGAGTCATTCATGCATTGGGATTTGTTCTCAGATGTCCGGAAGATGCGTCAACAGAATGAACCCTGGATTTGTCCTTGTACGATTGCATTTGACGGAGTTGGAAATTGAGTGGAAAACTGAAGATGTATGAGAAATCTCCGAATTCTGCTGTCATGGTGCGTCTCGAAACATCTCGTGCTTGCTTCCATGACTTCATTGCCAATTTAATCTTTTTACAGGTTGAGAAATTGAAGGCCTTGGCCGGTCATGCCGTGTTTCTGTGATGCATGAAGATCATCAGACTAGAATGGCTAGAAGATCAGACCAGAATGGCCATGAGTCATTTGGATCGGAAGACAATAGTCGACGAATTCATTTATTTTTCATCGTTTCATTTATGTGCGGAAAGAGGTTACCCTTGTCGTTCTTCATAAGATTCGATCAGAATGTCGCATGTGTGGAGTTGAAGTGTTTTGCAACGACTATTCCGCGCGCAATTTGCCTGCTAGGATATTTGCTGAGATAAAAAATGGTGCTTTCCTTCGTTAATCAAATTGTTGAGCAGGATTATTTCCTTATGTTGATTTGATGAAATTTCCAAGATTGATGGCTTGAATTTATGTAAGAGGTACAGTACGTATCTCATTGCAAAACTTGAGTTTTGGACCAGGAGCATTCGTTTCTTTCCGTTCAATCGGATAAATGTTTACGCCTAGCAAAGTTCGGTCATTACTACGGTGAACACATAATAGCGTAGTTCGAATAACATGATCATTTATGAACGAGCAGGTAATTTATGAATCAGATGCATAGGAGATCGGAAGTTCGCCAATGTCTTGATGCCGCGCAGCTTCAAGGATGCACGCTGGAAGGTCCTTTCTGAAGAGTAGAGTGGTTCCATGTTGGACTTCTTGAACCTTCGTGAGACATTCTTCCAGATTTAGACCAACGTACCATCCCTCGAAATTCCGAACGTACGTGCGCTTAACCGAATTTACCATTGGAAAGTACTTCTGTTTTTAATGGCTGAGTGAGCTGAAGGGCACATAGCGAACTGGAGAATAATGGGAAATTCCCGGCATTTGAGAGGGATGCTTTTTGGTGAAAGCTTCCGATGATTTGAAGAAAAATTGTGATAAAGCTAGTGCTTCTTTCCCATTTACACTTGTTCATTACTCGAATTGTGCTTGGGCAGCTGTTCGCGTTTAATTTGTTCACTTTTTTTGCTCGTGTGTTAAATGTACCTGCTCTCATAGACCATCCTTTTTCCATTTAGGGTACGGTGAAATGACAGAAGTGTACAGATCTACGAATGGCGTTCCCCCTGGTTGGGAATTCGCGGCCAAGCGTCGCGCGAGTGGTGCCACTGCTGGTGCGTTAGACGTGTACGTCATTCACACCAAAACCGGAAAATGGCTTAGGTCAAAAACTGACCTGGGTAAGTACTTGTCGGAGAAGGGCATCACGGATGTCAGCGTCGAAGATTTCGACTTTTCAAAACGCCAACTGCCTCCGGAGCTGCGTGGACCTGTGGGCGGTTCTCCGGCGAAACGACCTGCAAATACTGCACCGCCGAAAGTCAGAAAGGTAGGGAAGAGTGATGAATCTCCGCCGAAGAAGAGAGTCAAGATAGAGAAAGAGAAACCAGTCAAGATTCTAACGAAAGCAGCTGTAAAGGCTTTCCCGGATGACAAGAAACCAAAGAAGCTCGAAAAATCTCCGTACAACTTCTTCCTCGAGAACTACGTGAGCGACGATTGGAAATTCCTCATCGCCGGTTTCTTCATGGAGTTCAATGGAAGACGTCAAACCCCAGAACTTCGGAAAGACCTCAATCAATTCTTCTCCGAATTTCCGGATCAACGCAAAGCAAGTTCCGCTGGTTGGTCGCAAGTTGAAAGTTTTCTCTCACCAAAAGGATATAGTGAGGAATTCATTCGAAACATCACGCGCTTCTCGCAAGACTTCGTGAGAAACTCTGAGATGCCGATTGATTCCCGCTTGAAATCGGACGAAGTCACTGGTGTTACAGCCTTCGTCAGTCATTGTTACAAGATATTCGTGAAGCAAGACTTCACCTCGCACAAGCACCTGGATTACGAATCGTCAGTGTACAGAGATTGGGCTCTAAATTGCGCCGCAGTCCAGCGCGTTTTTGCGGAAGGCTGATTAGCCCCCTGGACAAAGATCTCGCAAGCATTGAAATATGACGTGATTTTTTGTTTTGTTGTAAAAATGTTCATTCAGTTTTCCATACTAATCTTAATCGTGAGCAATGGGAACAATACGAGGAGGATACAATTGTTTTTAAGAAATTTTCGAATTTTTCCGACACTTGAATTTTGCACTGGGATGAACTGTTCTTCCTTCTGTTCTTTTGTTATTGAAACGTGTGTGATTCTGTAGCCGCTGCTTTTCCTCGGCACAGGTTGGATTTTTTTTTACAATCAAAAGTGCGATATGATTGTGCTTCCAGTGTGGTTCTGTTTCTGTTGAACATGTGCGATTTTCAGTGATACGATTTGAAATCTTGTTAACGTTTACAGAAATATTTTACAATTGCGGAAGGTAAGGTGGGAATGGATCGTTCCTTTTCGACTCGGTCACACTTGAAGCGTGGGACGAGAACTGTTGGGTAAGATAGTTTGCCTTTTAGCGGAATTTGAATGCGAATGGCATTGATTTCCTGTTTTCCCAGATTGAATAGCAGTTCCATAACGCCACACGGAAAAAACCATACATTGGTGCAAGTTGGCAAAGGATGTCCTTCGTATTCCGATTTGTCCAAAGATGCGGATGCAGCAAGCTGTGAGTCATTCTCTTCGTGAATTTTCCTGTGTGAATTTTGTGAACCACGCATGTTTTGAACCAATTTCGTAATTACAGTTCTACCTGTACGAATGTGGAATGATTGGGCTTGGCTGGTACGAGACGCAAAAATCGTTGTGTGGAGGCATACCTCTTCCAAGGAAGCTGTGCGTTCGGGGATTTACGAATTCGGACTTCCAGACACTGGACTGATTCACAAAGTCGACCTCGTTCATGTGTTCTCTGACCCTACGAATCCGGATTCTGTTGCTTGTCTCGCCGTTTTGCCCGAAGGCAAACTCGTCCTTTGGCCTGACATCCTCAGAACTTCACCGAGAATCGAAATGATACTTGATCTTGGGGTGAGTGATTTTCCTCTTTGGAAGAACTTCTTTGCTTTTACTTCGTGAAATTGTTCAGTTCAAGTTTTCAGTATAACCCGAGATTTTCACATTTTGCAGATGTTTTGAATTGTGCAAGTACAGTTCTGTATTATTTTCAGTACAGCATATTTTTATTGTGAGTTTCCTGAGCGGATTTCAAATTAATTTCAAATGCAATCACAAGTTTTCGATTAATTATTTCAATTGCGACGTATGAAAATATTCTTGTTCTTTTGCGGGATGACTCCTGAACAACCTTGAAGCTCTCAGATGTTGACGAAAGCTTAACCTAGGCACTGAAGCGGAAATTCAAGTTGAACTAATTTTTCAAAATTTTTTCGAAATAAACGCTAAAAGCTACTCAAAGCTTAATTCGAGTGTGAACAACTTGAAAAGAGAAAGAACTTCGGCTTCACGAAGGTTCCCCTTGAAATCCGCAAACGTTTTCGCCGACGAATCGATTCCTGGATGATTATTTATATGGTTTGCTATGACGATTGAAAATGTTCGAATGTCCTGCAGTTACGATAATACAAAATTCATCGCAGATATCCGGAGAAGTGCTATTGTTTCTTCAAGAACCGTGTTTGTTAGCGGTCCAAAAAATGTGAAAATTTTTACACTGAAATCCGCCTGGTGAATTCAAAAGGAATGTATTATTGATGAATATTTATCTACTGTATTTATATTTCTACCAGGGACAAGAATGCGAAGGTTTGGTTCCTGTTTGGCCAGTTGGTTGTTTGCTGACGACCACGTCAGGAAATGTGATTCTGCTAGCACCCGATCTCGAGTCAACACCCGAAAAAGTCGAGTATCGTCCACTACGGGTCTTTCAAGGCATGTTTGCTGGTGTCCGTCATCGTCTAGCGAACATGATTTTCGGGCATTCAATGGAAGTAAGCTATTTTCTCCTTCTTGCTATAATTATGCCTGGTGTCTGTCTATACAGTCGAGCCTCTTCGAGTTGAACTTCAAAGGGCCAGCAAAAAATTTGTTTTCGGGAGGTTCGCAGTTGGGGAAAGAAGCATTTTTTTGGGGGGCGAGGGAAGAAGAAAAAATTTCAGTACACTAACTTGTATTCGGTGATGAATTGAAAGTACTTCTTGAACGAGTTGACAGGATGCTGAAATCGAAGGCAAGGGTTCATCTGTCCGAATAGTCTTTCACTTCCTTTCAAAACAGATCAGATTACGTTTTCATTCAGTTTCTTTTTCCTGTGTCAATAAAATAATAGTCGAAAAGCCTTCAGAAATTTCGATTTATGAAGGTTTCGCGGGAGAGCCTGTAAGTTACGGAGATTTCCGTGCACTTTTCTCAAGGGCTTTGGACAGGAACTTCAAATATATCTCCTTGGAGAGGTTCAACTCTTTGCTTTCTTATATTTTGATTTAAGCTAATTTTTCGCATGGTTTTTTGCAGCAAGGTGTTCAAAAGATCGTGCGGGTTGCAGCAGCATGGAATGATGATGCGTTAGATGTGTATGTCATGGTTGGGTCGATTTTGCGGAAATGGTGCGTTACTCCGACTCTGGACGGATACGACAATCTGGTCGCCGAATGTCACATAGATTCTTTGCTGAGAAAGGCCTATGGAGAACAGTTGAAGGTAAGCGTAAAATTGAAAGTGCAGTAATCCTTCACGTGCCAGGATGTTCTTTTTTTTCGCCCTTGGAAAGGCGAAATAATTCTTGGTGGATTTGAGAAGCTCTTGGAAAAGGCATCTTTTGTGTTATGATGTTGGTTGCTTCATTGTGAATAAAATGAATTTCTTCTCCTAACGTTGATGAAATGCATAGGAGCCCATTCCATGAGACGCTTTTTATAATCGAAGAGTTTTCGAGCTGTATGATTATTCTTTCCAGCTATCGGAAGATCGTGTTTGCACTTGGATTTTGGATATGACATGGAGCCAGGCAGGTGTTGTTGTTCTCGCTGGAGGTGCAAAGGTCGACTCGCAAGACGATGGAATTCATGTTTGTGTCGGTATGTCGCATGTGTCTTTTTTTTGCGCCCAACTGCTTATTTTCCCGCCTGAACTTTTTCCATTTGTTGGTATTCAAGGTTTCCTCGATGTTGGGAACGAAGATGTTCCCGCGAGGTTCACCAAACTCTTGGATGTGAGACGCGAAGTTGTTTCATCGAATTTCGAAGCGTCTTTATCGGCGCATCGTCTTCTTGCTGCGGGCGGGTTCCTTGCAGTGTATCATCCGACATTCTTGTGTTGCCTTTCCGGTGAGCATGAGTTGTCAAATTTGCTTCCGCGTGAAGCCCCATCTAAAGTATAGGAGGGAATTTTCTTCAGTTGACAAAGGTGTTGGGAAGAGGATGACGTGTTTTCAAATCGAAAATGATACGCTGGTTGGCTGGGGAGTCGCGGGAGAGTCGAATGATGAAGCTGCGTCTCTGTACTTCCATTCTGCGAATGCAGGAACTTTCAAGCTGTTGAGGAATTACGTTTTGCCGCAAACGTGAGTTTCCTGCGTTATTTTTTTTCAAGAGTTTATTGTTGAATCGCCTGGAATTCCTATTGTGATGATACTAGTTTCTTCATTCTACTGTGTGATTTGCCTGCTGAAGTTTGTTGCTTGTTAACTGAACGCCATTAGTCTCCCAAACCGTCTGATGAGGTGTCCCGGAATTGGGTCTTCGCTGTGTCAGTTTTGGTTTCGGTGAAGTTTCAGTCGAACGTCGATTAGCCACAAGCTTCTTTTTTGTGAGGTTCGAGGCAGTTTAAACGGGGATTGTGGTTCATCAAAAAAGCTACAATAATGTAAAAATTATAATACTGTAATAATATTCGGAAAGGAAGTTCTTATTTCTCTAAAAAAATACTGTATCAAAATAATCCTAGGGTGTGAGTAAATATTTCCAAGAAGTGAATTGCAGAATGCCATCTTAGTGTTACTTTTTTTATTCGAGTGGATACCTCTTGCAGAAACTTGTTGGCAGGCTATCAAATAATGTACAAAATTGATCGCCAGAAGCATATTTGAGTTCTCAATAATTTTTTCGGATCGCCTTTTACCGGGGTTCCCAATGCGTTTAATAGGTTTCGACTGTTGAAGTTTGACTAGAAGATGTTGGACGGTTCGAGCATAGATTTACGGCGAAGTTTCAAATCCGTTTTGCAGGGAAGAGTTTTCAGCAAGTATGCTGGACGCGTCTTCACTGCGATCAATGGATGCTTCGGAGAGATCAATCAGGGATGATCGCAGCGTTTGTGAGGAGAGCGTAAAAACTGATGTGGATCGTTTCGAAACTGAATCAACATCGAGTGTGTTCGGTGGACACCGAGCACCGGCCATTCGTCGGATAAACAGGAAGGCTATAGATGCCATGTGCAATTGCGACGACAGCTCAGTCCGGTTGAAGGCTGCTGTCATTTTGTATGCCGCGGATGAAGAGGTTCGTGTGATGCATTATTTTTATTGTATTTTATGTCGACATGTTTGTTAGTACGCGAGGGAATTGCCAGTCGAAGTTCATTCGGGCGGTAGTTCAGCTTTTTTTTTCTGACCAAAAAATTTGGTTTAATTTTGATGTAGTCTGTACATGTGGTTCTCTCGACATCATTGACGTGTTCCTCCCATTTTTGGCCTTGAATCCTAATGCTTTTGGTATTTCGACACAGCAGCAAAGGCTAAAACTGATAGCTGACTGAAAAGTTCAATTTAAAGCATCGTCTTTTTCGGACGAGAATCTAATGTTCGTATGATATGCATGAGAGGTCCGAGATTGTGTGATTGTTGCTAAGAAGTAGGAGATCTGAAATTCACTCGTGGGTCGATTTGAGTTTCAGGAAGCGCTGGATTTTTCTCCGATACGAAGCAATCCGTTAAATCCATTGCGAAGTGAAAAGATCCTTTTTTTTCAATGTCCATTCGTAGAAATGGTGCATCTCTTGTTATCGTATGTACGTCGGAGGTATTTTGAGTATACAGTAGTTTGAGTAAGCACTGGGGCCCCGAATCACGCGCGATTCGACTTGAGGACACTTGAGACTTGGAATATCTGCCTGGACATGCGGACCACAACTCGAATTCTGGTCGATTCTGAATTTTTCGGAACAATTTAATTTTTTACTAATCTTCATCATTTGAACAAATTGAGCCAGTTGTGCTTCTGTTTTTATAACTTTTTTTCCATTATCTGGGCGCAGGAAAATTGAGCGTGAGCTTGTACTTTAGATTTAAGGTTCTTTTTGATGATGATGAACAAAACTTTTTTGATGCTTTAAAGGCATATTTTCCCTGGTTTTCTTCCTGTACGTTGAAATACTGTAAATGTATGACTACTGTAGTTTCAATTTTTGAGGGATTCTCTTCCAAATTGTCGACGAACAGAACCAATTGAATATGCTTTCATTGGAATCTGTGAAAAACTTATCCGACATGTGGACATACAGTCCAAGAATCTATTACGTCTGCGTCTCCTTTGGGTCCCGCCATGTCTGAGCGTGTCATAATTCGTTTGTCTTTGAGAAATCTCCAGTGTTTTTATTCATACAATACCTTTCCTTTCTCTCGTTAGATCGTTGCCAGAGAGATCCTCAGCAAGATGTTGCCTCAGGGCATGATGCAGCAGTGGGCCGGATCATGCGATGCCTTCTTGGACAAAACCGTGATCGCTTGCTCGCGAGATAACATCCTGGACGATTATCCGACGCATGATCCAAGATGGAGTTCCAGAATCGGTCCAGGTATGTACATTTTCACATTTTTTTTGGGTTCTACAGTCAAACCTCTTCAAGTCGAACTTTTAATACGGGCCAACAACAAAATTCGAGTTTGGGCAAAACGCATTTTCTTTTTGTTTCGGGGAAAGAAATGAAAATTATTGGGAATTGGAATTAGTGTAGCACATCAAGTAACATTTATCTTTCTTTTATCTTTCCTGTGTCTGTAAAATAATGGTCAAAAGGCCTTCAGAAAATTCGAGTAATGGAGGTTTGAGGGGGAAAGCCTTCGAGTTCGGCATGTTTTCAATGCGAACTCAGACAGGGACTTGAAAAATGTTTGACGTAAAGGTTTTCAAGTTATCGAGGTTTAGCTGTCTAGGTAGTCGTGAACGTACGGTATTTTGTTGATTTCATTTTTTTCCTTTTCGATGCAACAGGAACCGGTGGTGTGACGAATTCTATGGTTTTGATGCATCAAGTCAAAGACAAGAGGAAAGTGCATAATATCTTCATGGAATTCCTCATGAGCACGAATCTCATGACCGTTGTAAGTGTGCTATTTTTCATGGATTCTGCGGTTGGAGTCGTGTCAAGTCAATTCTTCTGTATTTTTATTTAGCTGGCGACGGTGAACGTTGATCAGAGGGTGATGGCCACGTGTCACGTGTTGGCAGAAGATGCAGAAAAGCTTTGTGTTGCTGAAATGTTGCTCACTCTGCGTCCAAAGTAAGTTGCAAATGGTTTTTTGCATCATCTGTGTGATTTTTGAAGAAATTCTCAAAACTTTTTTTGTTCGTTTTTCATTGTTAACTCAGGTTGTCAAGCAAAAGTTCCCCAGATTAAGTTTTCCACGAGAATTCGCGTGATTTTTATGAGTTTATATGTTTGCCAACAGAGTCGGCCACGTATTTGACGAATTGCTGAAGGCAATTAACGTGGAACGAAGTGAAAAGGAGAGGTCTATTCCGAAACTGGAGCTGTTTTTCCGGAAAATTTCGAGCGTTGGTAAATTTTTTACTCACGGTTTACACGAGTGGCAGAAGATTTCTTCGGATCCGCAATTCGACGTTGAGAATGAAGTCTGGCGCTCACAAGTCATTTCCTTCACTAAGCTTCTCTCGGTAAGAGATTTCGCCTTTCCTCTGGAATAATGCTGAGTTTTATCAATTTTTCATTATACTTTGTTTCGGTAGTTTATACTTTTAAATATTCTAGACTGGTTCTGGAGTTCTAGTAACTGGTTTGTCGACATTTTTCAGACTTGTCTCGAGTCGGTGATGGATATGAGGATGGAGAATCCGGATTTGTACGTTATACCGGAGAATATGGACTTCCATTGGGAGTATGTGCCGTGGACATCATCGAAGGACTTCAGAAACATGATCATTCGACAGGTTTGTATTTCATCCAATACTTTTCATGCCAAATCCGTGAATGTTTTCACGACTCATTTTCTGTTAATGTGCAGTGTAACCTCCTTGAGTCGAGCTGCAAGGGGCCAGCGAAGGAATTCCACGAATCTGGAATTAACGAAAATATTCGAGTTATGCGAACAAGCGTTTTTGTCGGGGGGAAAGGGAGAAAAATTAGCAGGAAATCGTGATTGGTGACATTCTGGGACTTGAATTGCTTCTTTAATGCGTCGATAGGATGCTGATCTTGAGGAAAGGGTTGATTTTCACAAATAATCTTCCGCTTTGTTTCAAAACACATCTAGTTACATTTTATCGTTTTTTATCTTTCCTATGTCGATAAAATAGTGGCCAAAAGGCCTCCGGAAAATTCGAGATATGGAGGCTTGAGGAGGAATGCTCTAAAGTCAGGGAGGTTTGTATACTTCGTAATGCATTGTTTCTAAGGGAATTAAGACGGGGACGAATTTGATATCGGGAGGTTGTAGTTATCGAGGTTCAACTGTGCAGTTAAGTCGAATACAGTAATAACGATCGATCAAAACGGCACCTTGCGATTTTGCGAAGGATCGAGGGTTTGTGGCATTCCATTCAAAATCACTCTTATTCCACGCAAAATTAAGGGAAAGATAATGTCAATGAAAAGAATAAAAAGTTGAAAAAAATAGCTGTTGATATCTTTTTTCCATGTGGAAATGGTGGTTTTTAAAACTCGCGGATCGATCCAACGAGGTAACATGGCTTTATCAGTTCGTTCAAATGCCTTGCGAGAAATTCTCGTTAGGTTTCAAAGTCCATGAATTCACGACATTTGTTGATTTCCCGTCTATTTTTGTGTCTGATGTATTTCGGCACATTTTTCTGTTGAAAGGTTTCGGGATCTCTGGTTTTTCAGAAGCCATTGACAGCAGTGACAAAATCATTTGAACTGCTGACGAAACATCTTCAGTGTCTTCGAAGGATTGCCATAAGCTACAGTGAATAATTCTAATATTCCAGGGCTTCCTAGCTTCTGTTTTCTTGAACTAAATTTTGTGATGCACCTGCGTGATTCTCGAAATGATGAAAAGCAAACTTGCCTCTATTTGCGGATACGACAGAAGAGTTACCCCGAACATGGCTGAACTTCGTCGTGCTCTCGTGCAACACGGCGGTGCCACTTCTAAATATTTCACTGCAACATTTCCTTTATTTTCTGATCACGCGTCGTGAAGTTCGAATACAGTTGAACCTGGAAGACTCGAACCTGCATGAGTCGAATGCTTCCCAGAGTCAAATTTTCTTAAAGTTCCTCTCAGAATTTTGTCGGAAGCAATGTAGTGAAAACCTCCTTATGTCGAAGGCTTTTCGTCTTGAACATCTATGACTTGTTCCTGGGGGCCTTTTGGGTATTGTTTTTTCTTAAACACTGGAAAGAAAAAGCAATGAAAATTTTAAATTTTTATGATTCTAAGAGAAGTGAAGGATTACCGTAATTGGGCAAATTAACCCTTGGCCCAAGTTCAGTATTGTATCCTATCACCTTATTCAAGAAGCAGTGTAAGGGTTCAGAAGACCACCACTTGAAATTCTCCGTGATTTTTCTCTCTTTTCAAAAATGCTTGTTTCGCTAACTCGAAACTTCCGTAACTCCCCTTTTTTCGCTGGTCCCTTGAAATTTGACTCGAATTAGAGGTTCGACTATATTCCGGATGTGATGATCGTTTCTTATCATTTATTTTTCATTTTTTGTAGCTGGAAATCTGCGTGCAAAGCGGTGGGTTCGACCCGCGCAAGGGAGAGTTGTACGTGGCTTTGGAGAGACCCGTACAAATCCTGGTTGACTTCCTGTTGGACGGCTACAAGAAGCAGCTGGATTCCATGCCGAAGCAAGGTCGTTTTGACGCTGTGCGCGAGGAGTTCTTGAAACTGAGGAAGCAGTACCTTGTGTTGCTTTGTGGTTTGTTGATGATGTTCCTGCCGAATACGTTCCCGTTTCTGAAGTCTGTTCACCGTGGGGTTTACTTTTTTCTTGATGCAGATCGTCGAGACTGCGAAGACTTCGCGTTGCGGAAGGCGGAGGAGTATCGGGACTTTGATCTCATTTGCAAGATTGGTTTCAGGAGCAGTGATTGGACCTTGGTGAAGAACTTTTGTGACCTGTTTGCAGATGAGGTGCGTCGTTGTCTGTTCTCTCAAAATTTCCGAACGAAATTCTTCAGCCTGAAATGTGGATGAAAATGTATCCCCCAGTGAGACGCGCACCCCATTTTCAAAGCTCTAAATTGAAATATTTTGATGATAAATTGCATAAGAATTTAGTTTTTGTGGTCCGCTTGAATGTAATTTTTCATCATTCCCATGTTATGAATTGTCCGTGAAAATTGGATTCAAATTCCCTTTTGGAAGCAAGTTTGAGGTGCACCAAAGCTTAAAACATTTTTCGAAATGGTATACCCACCCTCTAATATATTTTCAATGAAAAATAAGTGTCCCTGTCGTTCTCAAGTGATTAAGATGCGTGCAATCCTTTAATCATGGTAATCTGGAATAATTGTAACAATAAAAATAAATAAAATATTGTAGACATCTGCGCAAGCGTAAGAGGAATGGTTAAATTACGGATTGCGGGCATCTTTCGGTGTGATACATTGAACCTGGAATTGCAGGTACGGTAAAGTCCACAGCAATTTCTCAAATCATGTTCGTGGACCCGAAGAGGCATCCTGGCAGAGAAACATTCCCACTGTACTTCCCAAGTTTCCCGCGATAGTTGATTTGGTTACCTTCCTTATAATTTCATGATGTATCGCTCATCAAAATTCAGTGGCGACTTTAACTACAGGTCGTAGTAGAATGAAATGTACTCAATTATTCGTGATGATGAGGAATTTTCGTTTCCCAGAAAATGTAGGTTTCCTTTTATTTGAAAAACTCTTTCAAGTTTCGAAAGAAACTTGAAAGATTTTTCAACGCTTTTTGCGGAGTTTTCAATGGAATCACCGGAGGTGCAGATTATGTGCTGAGTTTCGAGGAATGCGTTCCATTGTCTTAACACGATTGTTTTCCTTATTTCAATGCTCATTCACTTCCATACGATGTGCTCATTTCGCAGAATTTTGCGGAACACGCGTTTCTATGGCTTTTGAAGAACAAGCGACGCGGAGATGCGCTCAAATTTGCGCTTGCAATCCAATGTGAAGAAACTATCAAGAAATTTCCCAACATGTATTGGGCGTATCTCGGAGAGCAGAATCGATACCAAGACGCTGCGAAAGTCATGCACACGGCTGCGATGCGGGAAGATACTTATGCCAAAAGAAAACTGGTTGGTGAAATCCGCAGCTTTTTGCAATTCTCGCCAAAATCCAAACTGTGTCTAAAATGCCACTCCTGTCTTATTGTGTAATTATTTGTCCATGAGGATGAGGTACCTTTTTCTACTTCGTCGATCGCGTTCGAGACGTGACTGCGGGTCTCGATTTTCAGACAAATTTATGTTCAAGTGTCACAGGTTCCTCGTTCGAATGCCAGATATTTTGGTTGAAATTTTCTCGTGATAATCTGGGCTCACTATCACATTCACCATTTGTTATACATTCACCATATATTCATGCACCTCAGGCTCTGGTTGATCCTGAATACAAGTGGTCTCTCCACAATGAGCTTGTCTCAATAATTTTCTGTGTTCTCAACAACGAATTCGCTTGAATGTAATTTTAGTGAGAGTCCACCTGTATCACTGAACATTTGAAGCACACGATGAAGTTTTGTAAACAGTAACACATTTTGAGACCCCACACTTTTGTTGGAAAGAATTGAAAAGATTAATTTCCCAATTGGCTACAATTTGTCAGTTTCGTTTAACGAAAGTCGTTTGAAATCCTCAGTTGACATTGAATTGAATTTGTGCGGATGTTCAAGCTTTCCTGATGCGCAATCTGAGTATTGGAAGATATTCGCGTGCATGCGTCTGAGTATTTGTAGAATTGAAATGATTATTTTCATTGATAATGACTTGATGAGATGCTGAATCTGCGAAGTCTTACATTGCATTTCTAACTTGAGTTCCATTCGCTTCTTCCATAGAAAATGTTGGCTGGTGCCCGATTGTTCTTGGCGTTACTACAAAAGCAGCGTAGCCCAGGAATGCTGTCTTCAGACGAACAAGAAATGTCAGCTGAAATCCAGTACGAAGCCGAGATCTTGCAATACCAGGAACGGGTACCGAAACCGGTACTGGCGAATTTCGGGATGAAGAGCTTTGATGAAGGAGCACCACCTATGAACATTTCCGACATCATTCAGGTACTGTCTAGTTACATCCAGTGTGGTACTGTATTTGTGTTGGGAGACCACCAATTTATTTTTTGAAGTCACTGGCAGGAGGGTTTTTCAATGCTAACCTTCCCAGTTGATCTTGCAAATTGAAACGTCGTAAGATTGAGCTGGGAAACAATCATCTTCCAAGGTCATTCCGGTATTATTATTATCAACAAATTTCAGTTTTTCAGCCTCCCCGTGGGTTGAAAGCGTGGCGGCTCTTGATGAAAGTGGCGAGATGACTATCGAAGACCTCAATCCTTGGAATTAATTTTACTTGGATTACTAGAATTTTGAAGGAAAAGCTGGGCTTCATCAGAAAATCTACGAGATGGGCGCCTCATCTTTTGAGTTCGGGTCAGAAAACTGCCAGGGTGGCTTCTGCTAAAAATTTCTGCCAAGTATATCAAATGAGGCTTTTTTTTTTTTTGCTTGTGTGCCAAAGATTGGTTTTTTTTTCTGAGCAACAATTCTTTTTCAGCTCAATCCGATTCCCTTTCATTTCTCATTCCAAGAACTATTGGTAAATTTCAATGTAAAATTTGTCGTTCTTCTCGCTGGAACAACGTTCCGAACGTGTATCTTCTGAATCACATATCTGAAGGAAGAAATTTGACCAAATCGTGATCCTTTTGATGAAAAAAATTTCGAGAGGATTGAAAAGAGAAACTAGATTGGATGCGGGCGACATCTACGTAAACCTGATCGTGACCTGTCTCAGTACTAGAATGAATGCAAAATTCGTCTGCGTATTTCAGGTTTATGCTTCGACGGAAAATGCCGAAGCCACGCCGCAAATGTTCGCGGAAACATTCAGGGCTTCTTGTCTGCTCCGTTTCAATCGCGGGAAAGTGCAGAGGTTGAGGTGAGACAATTTTTCTGTTCATTCAATCCGGGATTTTTCTCAGTCGCCTTTCCTAACTATCTGTTTTCAAATTTATGTAGGCAATATATCTGGTGTTGCGCAATGAAGAGGGATGATTGGAAAAAGGTCGGTGTCGAAGAAGAAGAAATGCGAAAAACTTTCGCTTTCAGAGTCGCAGAAGAAGCTTTTGACGTACAGCCATATTTTTCAGGTAGAATTTTTTTCGAACCAACTCTTCTCTTCTTGAATCAAGTGGAAAACCCGAATTTCCAGCGTTTGAATTCTTCTTTGTTGTGAAATTTATGCTGACGTGTTTTTTTTTTTTCATTTTTTGACGTGACAGACGACGTGAAATTGGCGTGCATCGATGCTTTGGCAGACATAACAACGTGTGAAGAATTGGGCCCCATGCGAGGATCTGATGATTTCACGTACAAGCTCGGCATATTTGTGGAACTTGTGGCAAATAATTTCGGCATCGTTCAATGAGCGATTCGTTCATCCATGCGTCTCTTTTTTTTTATCGATTTCCGTATCGAATTCTGCCAAAACCGTTTTTTGGTTCTGGTAAATGTATTTTCTTCATGAGTGAATTGGTTGTGTTCTTCAAGCTTCATTGCACGGTGGGTTGGGCCTAATTCTGACGTCCGGAATGTTACCGAAACTGGATACGATAAATTGCAAACGTAACCGGAAAGAAATCTGTGCAACGCCTGTGTTTAGTGACCTTTGGGTCAAGAGTGACTTTCAGTCATATCAACACAGTGGTCCGTTTTAGGCCTGAGATGGACCCCCTGTTTCATGCTGAGCAGTTTTCAGTGGACTGATGGTTAACTTGAAAGACCATGGGTTTCAGTGCAGCAGAATAAGTGGGCAACTGGTAGTTGAACGTTACGTTAATTTGTTCAATGACAAAAACAGCAGCAGGTGCATTCCTGATAATATACTGATGTACTCTTTTTGTATGGAAACTGAGAAAACTTCTCCGCCGAAGAGAATTTGTTACGAAATTCCCGAAGGTTATTTCGGCACCGAAGGGAATTTGTTATGATAGGTCTTTACTTGAGTACTGAGTGAACTTCAGTTGAGTTTTTTGTTCCATCTGAGAGTTTGACTTACTGTGAACTGAACATGAAATTGCAAATAGATATTTTAAAATATGAAGGCTACCCTAATCAAAGTACAATTCATTGGATAATTCAGTATAACTGGTGATTGATCAATTAAAATTAAAACTTGATGGTTTTGAAGCAAAACGTTTAAAATTTTCCCGAAGTTGATCATGAATTATTTTCTCTCTGAGGGAACTAACTAGGTTGTTTGCGAAGTTGCTGACGCAAGACCATGCTGGAGTTACCATATTTTTGGCTTTTGAATTTACATGCCAATGCAGTAGGGTCAGGATACTATACGCCATATCCAGGTAGTGATCATGAGGGATAAATAATTTAATATTGTGTTGAATTTCGGATTGAGGAGTACAAGGACTATCATATGATAGTTCTCAACAGCTTCCAAATATGATATATTTCGCTTCCATAAGAAATTTTATTATTTCATTGTCAATTTTTCTCAATGTCTTTTTTCGAATAGGTATAGGACAACCTCTATGCCACGAAAATATTTGAAACTAAAGCAAATGAACTGACCTTCAATTCGAGCTGATCTAGCTGAAAATGATCGACTGCCCCCTGCATTTTTTTTATTCACGATTGCCTTTATTCGAGAACAATTGATATTCCAACACCAGAATGTTAATCATACTTGCGAAATCATGGTCAATGCTTGCTTGGGTTCAAGCGAAGTGTACTTGAGGAATATCATGAGGTCCTCTTCAGTTTATATCCATCAACTTTTGAACAACTGTATGTTGTGTTCGAAAATCTGTTTAGGCGTTTTCTCCTACTACATAATTGTGCAAAACGCCTGTTCAAAATTGTCTGTATTTATTCGTATACCCAGCAAAGAATCTTGGCATCCCGCAGTTAGGCATACCAAGGGATGGACTAGCTAGGGATAGGAGATGGGCAGAGGAGTCCCATGCGTGGGATGCTCTCCTCAAGTTGGATGCATCCTGCAGGATTCCCTAAAAGATGGGCATCTGAGAACCATCCCCAGGGATGGGGTGGCATCCCCAGAGCCATCCTGGGGATGCCGGGGCATCCCCAGATGCATCCTGCCATCATGGCATGCAGCCGTTGGCCTTGGCTGGGGGGTGAGGGAGTTGGGAGGGCATGCCCAAACCTGCTAGAGTACAAAATAAAATTTGCAAGTGCTTAAGTGGAGTTGAATTTGAACTTTGTAGAAGTCACTACAGTGACTTTTACAATTGACTTGAGACATTTTGAAATTTTTTTATGCAATATACATAAGAAATTTTAAATTTAGCTGCATTAAAAAGTACTTTTCTTGAATTTCAAATATCATATTTTAACTCTCCAATGGAATTTTTGAGTTGGCTTCAGAAAACATGTTGCTGTGGATTTAAAAATGGACATAAATAGTCAAATGAGGTCTTGAATTGTAGATAACTTCATTGTCAAGCCTTGATATATTTTTATATAATTTTAATATTGGTGGTATTTTTTTGGCAAGACAAAAAGTAGCTGAGTCCCAAATGGGGCCCACGGCAGGTAATGGATGAAATATGATCAACCTCACAAAGTTGCCTTACAAAGTCTTGCAAAGTCTGTTGGCTGAGAGACTCACTCACAGAAAGTCTCTCAGCCAACAGACTCACTCACAAGAAGTCTGTCGGTGGAGAGACTCACTCACATAAAGTCTGTTGGCCAACAGACTCAGATTGTGTTATACCTATTGGTAGAAAGTGTTTTTCATCGAGTTTTGCTGCAGGAGTGAAAGAATTGTTATGCTTTCTTCCCCTCTTACAGCAATGTGCTCCTGCAGGCATGATGTGTGTGTAATGAGGGTTGATCCTTACATATTAGCATTACAATGTATATCAAGGATTTGAATTTTCTTCTGCTGCAATCATTCCATCTCTCAGCTCTTGGGGATTTAAGAGTTGCATTAGGATTCAGAACTGTGCAATAATCTCAGCCTAGGCCCTGAGAGATGTCCATCTATGTAAAAGAATAGTGCATATGGGGTATCTCAAGATTTGTGTTTTGAACAATCCAGTTGGATAGTAATGGGTTTCATACCTCTACCCACATGAAAGACAAATGTGAGACAACTGACAAGTGACACCTACATCAAGGTGGAAGTACTTGGAAGATGTAAAAGAATAGTGCCTATGGGGTATCTCAAGATTTGTGTTGCACACAATCCAGTTGGAAAGTTATGGGTTTCAGACTTGTACCCACATGAAAGAAAAAAGTGAAAAAACTGACAAGTGACACCTACATAAAGGTGGAAGTACTTGGAAGATGTAAAAGAATAGTGCATATGGGGTATCTCAAGATTTGTGTTGCAAACAATCCAGTTGGATAGTAATGGGTTTCATACCTCTACCCACATGAAAGACAAATGTGAGAAAACTGACAAGTGACACCTACATCAAGGTGGAAGTACTTGGAAGATGTAAAAGAATAGTGCCTATGGGGTATCTCAAGATTTGTGTTGCACACAATCCAGTTATATAGTTATGGGTTTCATACTTGTACCCACATGAATGACAAAAGTGAGAAAACTGACAAGTGACATCTACATCAAGGTTGAATTACTTGGAAGATGTACAAGAATAGTGCATATGGGGTATCTCAAGATATTTGTTGCAAACAATCCAGTTGGATAATTATGGGTTTCATACTTGTACCCACATGAAAGACAAAAGTGAGAAAACTGACAAGTGACATATACATCAAGGTGGAATTACTTGGAAGATGTTAAGCAATAGTGCATATGGGGTATCTTCAGATTTGTGTTCCAAACATTGTTGTTAAGCACATCAAGATATTTCCCAACTGTGTCAACTGGAAGCTAATTGTCATGCTTTATTTCCCTCACACAATGATTTCTGCCTGCAGGCATGATGCATGTGTATTGGAGGTTGATCATTACATAAGATCAACCTCACAAAGTCTTGCAAAGTCTGTCGGCCGAGAGACTCACTCACAGAAAGTCTCTCGGCCGACAGACTTACTCACAAAAAGTCTGTCGGCCAACAGACTCACTCACATAAAGTCTGTCGGCCGACAGACTCATATAGCATTAAGCCTATGGGTAAAAAGTGTTTTTCATCAAATTTTGCTATAGGAGTGGAGGATTTATTATGCTTTCTTCCCCTCTCACATCAATGTCCTCCTGCAGGCATGATGATGTGTGTGTAATGAGGGTTGATCATTACATATTAGCATTATATATATCCAGGATGTGAATTTTCTTCTGCTGCAATCATTGCTTCACTCAGCTCTTGGGGATTTAAGAGTTGCTTTAGGATTCAGAACTGTGCAATAATCTCAGCCTGGGCCTTGAGAGATGTCCTCCCAATTGAGGTGAGATTTTTGGTTTTATTGGTTCTAGCTTCTTTAATGCCACAGGTACTGATTAATTTTGCATGACGCATTTATTTAGTACAATACGACACAGTTGTAACTCATTCATGTATAAAAGCTACACACAGGGACATAGATATATCATGTTGTCTCTGTGGCTTAGTGGTTAAGCTGGTGTGCTCTGGACTTGTGGGGCCCTGGTTTGAATCCCTGATGGGCTTGCAAATTTTCCTTGTGTTGTCTTGTGAATGTCTCTGTCTGTGTTTGTCCTTGTGTGTGGTTGACTGTCCTTGATGTGTGTGAATGACTG